TTGATTCCATATTGAGATACAGATAATTGAAGCTGGGGACAACTAATTAATCATTAAATTATTAGGTGGTTTGTTAAATTTGTAATACGTCGGCTGTGTATAATATGAGTATGTAAGCTCTTATATACTAACAAAATTATTGTTTATTGTTGTCTATATTATATTTATATTAACGTTATTAGTATTATATGGTATTATGGTATTTACGTTTATATTTATTCGTATTTATATCTATATTTATATTAAATATTATTTAATGTTATGTTTAATCTTATTGTTAATATATTCATATTATATTGTTTATGTGTTGTTTATATTATATTTACATGTTATTGTTTATATTAAAATATTACAAATATGAAGTAGTATATCTTAAATAGCACTAAAAAAAGACGAATAAAAAAAAACGAATAATAAAAAAGAATAATAGGAAGGGAGGTGTTTGAATTGTTGAGGGTAGATTAGGCTAAAATCCCCTGTTTTTGTTCCGATCTTGAGGTAAACATACCCGAAGGGGAAATTGTAACGGATCTTTTTGGGTATATCGGTACAGCTTAATCAATATCAACGTATTTATTGGATTATTACTATTGTAATCGCTTTTTTTTGGAGTTTGACCAAATATTAAAATTCGACTGTTTTTCCTTTGTTGTTCTACACTACGACCAAATTACACATGTGGTAGTAAGAAACGTCTTACCCTGTCTTGCTTCAACCTTTTAAAAGTTGTTAATTTCATTATTTTCTTTAGCAATTTAGTAGCATTCCAAATTTTCCAGTACTTTGAACACGATTCAAATTAAACATTGAATATATTAATTGCCGGGAGCAAAATTCTGTTTTAATCGAAGCTTTTTCAGGTGAAAGCGAATCCTCAAAACCATTTCCTCACATTTCACTTCCCAATTTTCTGATGAGTATGAAATTTCTGGGTGCCTTACGACAAGAATTGGACAGGACGCGTTATCGTCGCATTGAAAATGACTTGTATTCACTTAACCAGACCGATGATTTGGCCAATTATGATGCAGCAAAGTTTCCAAATCTGGTAAAATTCAGGTACCACAATTTATGCTAATCTTGTGATGTGAGCAGGCCCAGGCCAAGTAAGGGAGAGGGAGTGGGTGAAGTGTGGAAAGGAGGGAAGCAAGTAAAAGGCAACTACCAAAATTCGGCTCGGCTCGGCTCAACATGAAATAAAAAAGTGTGGATGCGTCGTAGACATGAACATATGAAAGTATCGATATTGTCGAAGAGTATTTGCATGCCATGTTCAGCTGTGCAGAGCTGTTTGGAATGTAGTACCATCGTCATTGGTGGATCCAGGGAGGAGGTTTTTCGCCCCCTACCTCCAGGGGCTCAGGTAGCAGCTGTTTTACTGTAGAAAACTCTGTTCAGTACCCTGTGACACAACCTGCCCTCCCCACCCCCTCGTCTCTTCCGGTAGAGTGACGAACTGAAGGAAGGGGGAGGGGAGGGAAATCGTGCCCACCCAGGAGACCGCCCTGGAGTTGCCTATGATCACCGTGCACATGTGTATTTGAATCAGCCAAAATTATCCATAGTTTCTTTCGCGAGCTATGCAATTCCTATTCAGGTTTTTATCCCGAAACATTCCTATTCAGGTTTTTTAATCCGATTTATCTTATTCACCTTCCTTTTATTGCCTTACTTTTTACATAAACACACATCATCTAAAATTAAAATTACAGTAGCAGTTTTTCTAGTCAGCTGTGCCAGTGCTGCATCACCTGGTGGTCAGACTGGCGGCGATTCTTGCATCTGATTCGTCTCCTGAAAGGATTACCAGTTCAGTAATTCTTCTGGCGAAAACCTTTGACTTTCTTTTAGCCGCTTCAAAGCATCTTTGG